ATGGATTAGTAGAGCTGAGGGCGTGGTAGAAAGGAAACCCTCCTGATAGTAACCGCAGTCTTTTCAGTTTCAGCCTCGGTCTTCCCTCCACCCCTTTCATGTAATTTTTTCCCATAGTTAATTTGACTGCAAAATTGAGCCAAGACTTTTCTTCCTTATCCTTGTGTTTGAAATCTACCATTTTATGCAATTTCTACTTGATTTCCCTATCAGTTAACATCTTGTATTGCTGCCAAGGTATTGCTAGCATTAGAACAAAACTGAAAGATTGAAGGACTGATACCAAATGCATTGACTTGAAATGCAAATGTGTTCTTGACATAAATGTTACATCTGTGGTTTACAGCATGGGAGACCGTTGAAGCTTAGTCATATTTTCTATGTTGTTAGTTACTTACCTTTGACATAGGTTTCAGGTTTAGCAGTTTGAAACGGGATATGCCAGAAGCTTCCAACTGGTTTCTTATCCAGTTCTGATGTGCCTGCTGTGGGATAAAACCTGTGTGTACGCACAGCTCTTAGTCTTGAAATACAGAAAACTGCCTGTATGTCCAACCTGTGCTACACAACTGCTTAGCAAGATTCCTGACTTCATGCCCTGTATTGATTTAAGAGACAACCACTGGGAACTCAACTGTTCTCACGTATGGGTTATCAATGCACTGACAATGCACATCCTTTGTAACTAATAGATTTTTATTTTATTTTATTTTTTACTTTCATGACATCATAGACCAATGAACACACTGATGCTCAAAGGACAGTTCAGTTTTGCTGAAATTCACTCTTGGGTTGTGTTTTGCTTGCCTGAAGTCCCTGAAAAGACTCCAGCTGGAGACAGCGTCACATTTTATTTTCAGAACACCTTCCTGGGAACCCAGCTTGAAAGTTCTTACAGGTAAAATACAATTAATAAAGCACAATGTGTCTGTGCTTGGCTTTTTGTGTTTCTCATTCTTGACCAGTCTGTGAGTACCATTTCATGGACATGCTGCTGTTACCCCCTCCAGCTCCTGCAAAACTATTTGTGAGAACAGGAATCTTTTTGTAGAAACCGTTGTCAAACATTACTGGGGTGAGCACTATCCAGTAAGGTTGCAATCTTTAATAGGCTTCTCCTGAAGTTGCTCCAAACCCAAAATTGCCAGGGAGGAAAGGCTTGATATGTTTTTAGGATGATGTGGGTTTTGTTGTGTTTTTTTTTTTTTAATTTTGAAGAACATAAATGGTTTAGTGAAGTTGTTTTGTGATGCGTATTGTGTTTTTTTATACTAAGGAGCAGAAATAACTTGAAAGGCATTTAATATTCATGCAAACAAAAACATTAATAAGTATTTAGCTGAAAAATTATTTTTGCAACTTAGATTAGACTGATACTTCATGTGTTTAAGGCTAACACTCTGTTCACAAATTGATTAGTTATATCTTCCTTCTGCAAATTATATACTTCTGCCTGGAAAGGGAGCTGCAAAGTGGGGAAAAAATAATTATTGTACTTAAATGGATTCCAGCCTGCATCCAGTTAATATGTGTATTGTTTACTCGTAACGTAGAAAGTTGTTGGGCAGTGGGCTTTAGGAGGGTGATATGTTTCTGATTGATTGTTTTCTTCCTTTCTGATGTTGAAGCTTGCCATTTGTCTTCAAAGTATTGCAATGATAAAACTTGGGAGGAATGAATACCATCAGAAGTCTTACTTGTGTAACCTTAGTGCCATGTGTGAAAGATAAAACTGCTTTGTCTTTGTGCAAAGATACTGCTTTGTCTTGTGTCCTGAAGCAAATGACCTCCGAGAGGATTACAGCCTGAGTAGGAAAGAAAAGGCTAGCGTAGGTGTATACAGCCACCTAACGTATGGAGAGTCATTATGACCTCTGTAGAGGCTAATTAATATGAGCATTCATTTGTAAATCTTACATCTTAATATTAGGACAAATCTAATGCATGTATGTGCTTGTAAGTTTGTTCATATGAAGTTTCTCTTCCCTTATAGAAAAGGTGAGGGATGTTTCAAGTCTGACAACATTTCTACAATATCCATCCTAAAAGATGTGCTTTCCAAAGAGGCTACGAAAAGAAAGATTAATCTCAACATATCGTATGGTAAAATTTGCTTAGGTGTTTTATTATCCTTGGTTTCATTTTATATTCTCAACAATAATTTTATTTTTCTTGACTCCATGCTAGATATAAATGAAGAATCCGTGAGGCACACATTAAAGCTCATCCACCCCAAATTAGAGTATCAGCAGCTGTTGGCCAAGAAGGTTCACTTGATAGATGCTTTGAGAGTAAGTATCTGAACTCCTGTGGAAGGATTTTTGTGGGGATTATGTTGTCAGATATCAAGCTGTATAGCTAAAGTCAAATGCATGTCATACGGGTATCTGCTCTGTTTCTATTCCCAGGACATGTACTTTAATTATCTGTGAGACTGCCTTCTCAAAGTAAAACTCCAATTTATGCCATATAACTAGTGAATAACATGTAGGATTACTGACTAATGGTTGAGGATGCTTAAATCGGAGAGCAGAAGGCAGCCAGCTTTGCTATCTAACATTCTTCTTGCTTGCTGTTATTTTCCAGTTCAATCTTTGCCATCTGCTTATTAATCTTTGCTTAATTCTGTCGTCAGTGATTAGTCTCTGGGAGGTACCACTTAGGCAGCTTGTCGGAGTTCTCCAGCAACCAGGATTTTATAGTCAGAAACTTGCTATCTCTTTTGGTGTATTATTGGGTGTGGGTGTGAGAGAAAACGGACAACCAGTTATCTCTTGTCTTTTGGTGGAATCAGATACTAATTGTCAGAACTCTTTAGTCTGTAGGAAAAAGGACTACCGATGATCACTGTGTGTATCTTTATGTTATTATGGCTAAAGGTATTTTACTTAAGCTTGATTTGACCAAGTGGAAAGATAATAGAGAATTAATTTTTTAATGCATGTTTTGCTTGTGCAGTAATAGTGAAGTTGAACATCTTAGAGAAAGTGTTTAGTGCTTGTAGTTTCTCTTTTAGTCAGCAAATCTTTTTTTGTCACTCATCTTTTGGATAATAGGCAGTAAAATAATCTAGTGCCTGATGAAAGCTATTATCCAAGTAGACTCGAGGTGCGTAACCTTTAGTCTAGAAAAGAACGGTATTTCTGGGTGCGGCAGCAGGACTGCCCTATTGACTGTCTTAAATTGATCCGACAGTAGCTAGGGGCATTTTAGAATTAGTCTTTAAAATCTCTTGCTCTCATGAGTTTGGTGATGCTTCCAGAGATTACTTTTACCTTTGGACTTTTAACACGTGTCACGCATTCCAGGAATATACTTTGCCTAAAAATGAAGGCACGGTGCAGGCTTTGAGCCTTCAGTAGGTGTGATTCTGTAGGGGCAGAGCTGTGGAGCGATGCTGTGTTTGGCATGAGCTGGAAGCTCTAATACATGGAATTTTGCAAATCTAGTGTATGAAGTGACAAGTAACAGCTGGCATGTCATTAGAAGCCCTAAAAAATGAGGCTCTTTGAATGTAACTCTTGCTAGTTTAGAAGGGGATTGTCTTGTTTCTGAAGTACTTCCTCTTGTCAAATCAAAGCTTCATTTCTTTTTTACTTCTATGTTCTTAACCACCTTTTGATATTTATGATTTAAAATCTTTTCAAGGAATTACAAGTTCATGAGGGAAATGTGGACTTCCTGCTGCCAAAATACCGCAGTATTTTGGAAGAGGCGGATCAGCTGCTTGAGGAGTACAAGAAACAGCCTGCACATCTCGAGAGACTTTACGGTTTGTTGATCAGTTTGGCTTTTTGTTCTAAATGCAAATTAATGTCCAGAGAGCATGCTACCCATTGCTGAAATAGTTACGAAGTCAGCATTAGTAGAATTGAAGTAACTTAGTAAGTGGGCTTACAAAGCTAAGCTAAGGCTGCATGTCTGCACAATAATGAAACTCCAAAGTTAGAAGTAAGGCAGCAAAACACAGAATGTATTAAAAGTGGTTGTTTTATGCCACTGTTAACTTGGAGGAACTCTCTAAAGTTCTTTAAGAATTGTTCTCCTGAGAATTACTGAATTGATTTGTTACCGTGAGCATAGTACTGAGAAGTGTAAGGATTATTTGCTGTTACAGTTCCTACTGGGCAGCATTTTTAATATGTATGATGCTTGGCTTCCTGGGCAGGATCAAGGGACAGGTGTGAGTCCAGGCTGGCATTATGAGTGTCCACAAGTTAAATGAGTGATGAAGGTCTGGGTGGTGAGGTGTTACAAAATAGCAGAAAGGCAGAACAACGTAGGTGGGATGGGAAGTGGGCATGTTAGAATACCAAATTTAGTGAAGGAAGTTGTGACCTTTTGTGGTGGTCTCCATGCAGCTTTCAGTTTAGGGAACCTCTGGCAGATGCTGCCTGTAAGAAGCCCATGTCTCTGGTGGGAATGCAGCCCTCATCGCGCACCCTGTGAGGTGGGCTCCTTCCTCAGGGACTTTTATAATCAGAAATCCCGATTTGGGAACTTAGCTGTGTGGGGTTTGTTTAAAAGGCAATCGTTGTTTTTAAAGTGATGCAGTTTGTGAGGCTGTTTCTGAAGCCCCGCTGAGGCGGGGCAGGTGCCATGTCCCCCTGCCCGTCCCGTTGCAGGCATGATCACAGACCTCTTCATCGACAAGTTCAAGTTCAAAGGCACCAACGTGAAGACCAAGGTGCCGCTCCTGCTGGAGATGCTGGACGGCTGCGAGCAGGACGGCCTCATCGCCTTCTTCGAGGCGGCGGCCTGAGGGGCAGCGCGGCTCGGGGGCCGCCTCCCCCGGGCCAGCCCCATCCCCATCCCATCCCTTCCCTTCCCTTCCCCTTCCCCCCCCTCCGCCATGAAGCGCCTCAGCGCCCGGCCCCGCCCTTCCCGCGCCGCCCCCGGCGCCCATTGGCCCGTTCAAGAGTCGCGGGCCGCTTGAACGCCGAGCGCGGCGCCACTCCGGGCGGCGGCGGGAGGCCGGGCTGCAGCCGCCCCGCGCTCCCCGCGCCCCGCTGCCCGCGCTGCCGCCATGCTGGCGGAGCAGGAGCCCCGCGAGGACCAGGAGAACGTCCCCCCGCTCCCCGCCGCCACCGCCAAGGGGCCGCTGCCGCCGCCCGCTGCCGCCGTCGCCGCCGCCGCCCGCGTGGCGCTGGGCCCGCTGCGGGGCGCGCAGCTTCAGGCGGGCGGCGGGCGGGCGCCATTTTGCGGCGGCGGGGAGCTGTCAGCGGCGGGCGGCGGGGAGCAGGGCACCAGGCGCCGCCCGCCTCAGCCTCAAGCCCAGCAGCCGCCTCAGCCGCAGCCCTTCAGCGTCTACCGGGATGAGCCCGACGGGGAGCGGCGGCGGAGCGGCCCCGCGGCGCAGCGACGGAGGAAGGAGGAGGATGAGGAGGAGGATGAGGAGGCAGCGCTCGGCGCCGGGCTGCGGGCCGCCGTCGGGGCCCTCGGGGAGCGGCGGCCGCTGGCGCCGCTGGGCAACGCCATGGAGCTCAGCTGCGGTACGTGAGGGAATAGGGGCAGGGAGGGAGCCACGGGGGGCCATCCCCCATCCCTTCATCCCCAGGGGAGCACAAAGCGTCCTGCAGCAGCCTTTTGGCTTCCCCACGTTCTCCCCAGCTCCCGGTCCGGCTGAGTGACAGCCCAAACGCTGGTGGAGCCCCCGTCCATGCGCGTGTTGGGGACAGGGCAGTGCCTTGCGCTGCCAGGTGCCTGCTCTCACGTGGCTGTTGTCTTCCATGTAGATTCTCCAAGTATTATGGATATTTCGATAACATCAGAAGCGGAAGAGAAAAAAACAAACGTTAACAATGTGCCAGACTATATCACTGATATCCATACCTACCTTAGGGAAATGGAGGTGAGATGCCGCCTATTTTCTTGTTTGCATGCAGCTTACTGGGGGGAATCTAAACAGTAGTTACTGCTCCACTGACTAAAATAAAGCTTGGTTGAAATAGCTAAATGCTGTGCTTATTGCTGTGAACACAAGACCAGTTTCTCATCATACAGTTGACTGCTATGCACTCAACACAAGTTAGGAAGATTACAGAAACTGAAGTAATTGATGCTGCATTTACCATTGCTCACTTCTGACCTGTTAAAAATCTCTTTACCTGTGGTAAATGGAGCATAAATAAGTGTTTCCCTACAGGCACTTTGTCCAAACTCAGTCTTGTCTGTCATCTAAACCTACAGGTGAAGTGCAAACCTAAAATAGGCTACATGAAGAAGCAACCTGATATCACAAACAACATGCGGGCTATTCTTGTGGACTGGCTGGTGGAGGTTGGAGAAGAATACAAATTGCAGAACGAAACCCTGCACTTAGCTGTAAACTACATCGATAGGTTTCTTTCTTCAATGTCTGTTTTGAGAGGAAAACTCCAGCTTGTGGGTACTGCAGCTATGCTGCTTGCATCGTAAGTGAAATTCCTTAGTTTAAAAGTCTTCCTGCTGGTTTCATACAGACAGAAATCTTGCGGCTCTCACATTTTTGATGCTTGTAGTCGGTTTGAATACAGAGGGCTTCACACTAGGTGCAAAGGTAGCAGTTTCCTACCTCAAAGCCTGGCAACCTGTGTGAAGCCCTGCAAGCATGGTTCTGGGATATCTGTGTAGATTGGCCTGATGCAAGAATTCATGCAAATGCAAGGATTCTAGCTGCAGCAGCAAAGTGCTTCTGAATGGTATTTGAGGAAATGCGCACAAAGACATAGGATTTTTCCTGCACCAATTACTACTCTAATGGGTTCGTCTGGAGTTTTAGTAACTCTTTAGTCCCCAGTTGCTTAGTCCTACAAAAGCAGCCTATTGTAGTGCTCTCTAATTTCAAGTTCTGGTGATTCAAGACCTACTGAACTGAGTGCAGTAAACTTACTCAGTAACCGTACCTGGCTACTTCACAAGTCAGAATTTAGTTTGGCATGCTGGTTTTCATTAAATGTTGCTAGTTACCTGATTCCTCAGTACCTAAATATTTGCTCTTAACTGTTTCTCATGGCAGAAAGTTTGAGGAAATCTACCCTCCTGAAGTAGCAGAGTTCGTCTACATCACGGATGACACCTACAACAAGAAGCAAGTTCTAAGGATGGAGCACTTAATTTTGAAGGTTTTGTCGTTTGACTTGGCAGCTCCAACAATCAACCAGTTCCTCACTCAGTATTTCCTGCATCAGCAGACAAATGCTAAAGTTGAGAGTTTATCGATGGTAAGAATAATTAGTAGCTTGGTCTGTGCAACTTGAGAGTTATGTTATCATGAACGCACCTCACAGGATCTGTATTTGTAGAAAACCAATGGCACGGGGTTCTTCTGTCCAGACTTTCTCATCTGGTATTTTTACACGTGTGAGTGTGCACAGTGTGCTATGTGCTCCTCCAGAAGTGGTGCTGCACTCCTGGAGACAAAGGTCTTGTTGCTACTGTTCGAGGCGCTCTGTTGCTGTTGCGGTCTGGCACTTGGCTGGGCCCAAGCATGAATGCTAACTCAGAGCAGGCCCAGATTGATGAATTTTAATCCAGGGTTTGTTTCACGGCCGGGTACTTCCCTCGTTCCTATCTAACATTGCCACGCCCACCCATTTGGCAGAAAGGACTTCTGTTTTTCCTCTTAACTCGAAGTGAGCTCTAAATCCTGAGGCCAGTTTCCCAGCAGAGCACAGTTACCTGACATCCTAACTGTATTGCAGGTACAAGAGCTCCTAAAAATGGAAGCCTTTGTCTCATTGTGCAGAGGTCAGACCAGACTGCACCTTTCCCTCTTGATCCTCTTGATCTTAGATGCCTGTAAGAGAAGATGTGGTGCTGGAAAAGCATGCTTGAGAACAGTGTTTGACAGTGGCTACAGTAGATGCTAGAAGTGAAGTATTTGTGATTGTACTCGTCATGTTTTGTTGCTGTTTAGAGATGCTCAGAGCCAGAGGTGGTTCGGTGTACTCACTCTCGGTCTGTGCCACTGCCTGCTTTTGTCAGTGTCAACCTTGTCTTGAGGAGAGTAGCGGCATTAATTGAAAGGAGCAAACCTGTGGGCCAGCTCTGAGCGGAAACTTGTAAAAGCTGCTCTTCCACGTGGTGGCAGGACTGGAAGCTTAATTAATGGTCCTAATGAAGCTGTTGAATGCTCTTCTACTTCCCTTCAGAAGCAGACAATTCTCGCTCTTGTCTTGCAGTATCTGGGAGAGCTCACTCTCATTGATGCTGATCCCTACCTGAAATACCTGCCGTCAGTTATCGCTGCTGCAGCGTTTCACCTAGCAGGCTACACGATCACTGGACAAACCTGGGTACGTAGTGCTGCGCCCTGAGCCTTCGCACGCCTGCCTGGTGTATTGTGCAAAGTTCTGAGCGCTGGGCCCAAGCTGTGCGCTCAGTTTGGGCTGCAGCAGTCGCAGCCCCTCTGCAGCCACTTAGTGAGGGATTGCTTCCCATGGTATTGGAAAAAGGGGGGGAGCCGTTCTGGGAGTGCAGAGGCATCTGTGGAGGCGCTGTTCTGGGGATCCTCCTCAGAGCTGTAAGCAGCTTCCGTGGGATGAGGAAGTGGGCAGGACAAGGAATCCTTCAGCTTCTGCCTTGTAATGAATACGAGAGTTTCAGGATTGCTGTAAATCTACAGGAACTGCTGAAGTCAGAGCAGCGGGTATCAAGCTACTTGGTGCTTGGCAGAGCCTCACTCTCTCAACCTGCTAGGCCAGCACAGTTTTAATAGGAAGCTGAAAACTGCTGCCAGCTCATCCGTGTGACAGAAACGTCTTCAAATGCTCCTCTTGCCTTTCTTTTTTCTCAGCCTGAATCTCTGTGCAAAGTGACAGGCTACACCCTTGAACACATTAAGCCTTGCCTCATGGACCTACACAGGACCTACCTCAAAGCAGCACAACACACACAACAGTCCATACGGGAAAAGTACAAGAGTACGAAGTAAGTACTGGTAGGGCCGTGCAGCAAGCACGTAGTTATGCTGGAGTTGCTCTAGCACGTGATGGCCTAACGAGGGCTGGGGTTTAGTTGAAGTAGAACCAGGCCTCCGTAAGTGAAATGGCGATGGGACTGCTCAAGGCTTCTGCCCAGCGCTCTCTGAGCAGTGCTTCCCGTTCAGCAGGCCTGCAGGCACTGCCCAAAGCGCTACCTGAGCGGTCAGGTAGACACCAGAGGAGTTCTCGTGAAATTCCTGCAACTGGTGGGCAGGAGCTGGTACCTCATGCTCCTAAAGATCTGTGTTGGCATGGTGGCTGAGGAGCTCCAAAATGTTTCCTGCTGGCTGTGCTGTGTGAGACACGTGCTTTGCTGCAGTATCTGTGTTATTCTTTACAGCAAAGAGCACCTGAGCGAGATTACATCCTGCATCTTTTTTTTCCCTCCTCTCTAGGTACCATGGAGTATCACTTATTGACCCACCAGAGACACTAAATTTATTGTAATGATCAAGAGACTGATCTTTTAGAGAAATGTATATTACAAGAAAATGATGTACAGTTTTAAAAATGGTTCAAAATTCTAGGTGTGATCACTCAAAATATTAATACAGGTTCTGATGAGCTTAATTATGAAGTTAGTTTTATGTGGTTTTAATGTAAATCTTTTGTACATGCAATCTTGTTAAAATACTTCGCTGTGTTGTAATAAGAATGTTGTCTTCAAGCACAGGATTAACCATGCAGACCAAGTGAAGCCAGACGGCTTATCTACGTAGAGATTAGACAGTACCACTAGCAGTGCATTATTATGATACTAGGGCTTTTTCTCCTTCCAAGAGTGACTTGGACTCCAGAGCAGTATTTTTGTACTGTCTAGTTTATGTTGAGACTTAGTATAGATCCAAAATGTGGCCTAACAGCTGTAATACTGGAAGAAACGCTATAGCTATGAGGAGAACACCTCCCTGAAAGTGCCTTCTGTGAGACTGCCTAGGCTGTGCCGTGATTTGTGTTTAATGCTTGCCAGCTCTTCATCTGCTTGGGTGCTCTGCTGCAGGGACTGCACGGCTAGGACTAGGGTATGCAGAAAACATTCCCGCTAATGTCTCAGCTGCCCCCCCAGCCCGTCCATGTCTAGTAGGAGCGCTCAAGCCATCAGCCTGCTGAGCTTGCGCCTCTTCAGAGGTGGTGGAGCGTTACAGCTGCAGGGCGTGAGCTGCTGCTCTGTGCCCCTGAGAGGAGGCGATGTCCTCGGGGGTGCAGGCTACATGCAGGAGGGTACAAATTCTGTACAGCCTTCTCACTGGGGAGTGGCTCCTCTGTGACATGCAGCAAAAATGTAAAGCAACTGGTCTTACTCCTTAGTTACTGGAACTGTTACATGAGCAAAGTAGCACATAATTGTCACTAGATGAAATGGACGTCTACCTTCAACCTGTATCAATGGAGTGAGTGATGTGCCCCTACCCCTGTTCTTTGTGTATCTACAGTAGTGAATGCGTGGAAGTGGGTTTAACAGAGCCATTTCCAGGCTGGCAAATAAACAAATTTTACATCTGATATTAGTGGTCTTACCAATACCTTAAAATCACTGTTAGTGCTACCATCTTAAATTGGAATTCATTTCTACAGCTGTGGCAAGGGCTGAAAGCTGTGCCACTTTAACCAGGAGTTGATTCAGCACTGGGGATCTGCACACCTAATGGTAGCAGTATGAATTCTACTTAGGTGTGAAGCAGTTTGTGAGGGCTATATTAAAAAATAGTAATTAAAGAAAAATACCAACCTCTATCAAGCAGACAGGCATGCGTTATGGTGAGCCAATGTACACGCCTTGATTTGGTAATTAAGACCCTGCTGTCCTGCCTCCCCCTGTTCTGCAGCCTGAGCCCTCCATGGACCAACTCAGCTGCAAAAGTGCTCTAGCCACGGGGCGGACGCTCATTGGGTTAAGACAGACGGGTGCAGCAGAGGCTGCCTCTTTGGCTAATCTTAGCTTCTTAGGGTGTGCTTTGTTCTAATGTTTAATGAAGAGCCATATTTCATTGGGCTACTGTGTTCTCCAGTAGTCATCAGTTAGCTTAGTTCAGTACCTTGCTGCTGGAAAAAGCTAAAAACTAGTTGGGAAAAACTGCACAGTGTATCATGTCCGGTGCTTGGCATTGGAAATGCCCTAACCTTGCAGGAGACGGAGTGTGTACATAGCACAATGTGCGTGCCACGGCTGTGACAGCAGCTGGTGACCTTGGAAAGTCAACCTAAAATGGTGGCTGGCCATCTACTGGTAACAAACTGTGGAAGATGAACAGTTTAAGGAACGCTTATGAACCCTGGCAAAGAGCACATATTAGCATTGAAGTGAAAAGGCTTCTGTTCATGGTATTAGTATTTACTACTTAATGAAATATTGCCTTTCTCTGTTTTGGATGGAAGCCATTCAATTAGTGTCCCATAGCACCGAGTAAAGTTCTCCCCTGCTCCCTAAGCTTTGTTTTTAGCATACAGTGTCTGACACAGCTTCCTCTACAGCCTTAACAAATAAAAATAAGCCTCAGTCCTAGGCTGGCCTTTTTGCCCAGTGTGATTATGTCCCTTCATCTGTATTGGCTGCTCTTGTTGCTGCAATATCATTCTTTACAGCTTTCATTTTCTAAACCTAATTTTAAAGGAAATTCTAGCTCTTGCAACTAAGCTTCGTCCAAAAAATCCCAGGCTGTGCTGTCCTAGTGTTTCGCCTATCCCCTGTAAGTCCTCTGCTTCTTTTCAAAATAAAGCCTCTACGGATGTAGTGTATAAGCTGTTACGTATGAAGAAGAGAGAAAGAGTAGTGGCAAAACACACCGTTCTTTTTCCTGAAGAAGTTTAAGGTCTACAGAACCAGAACAGTGGTGCTACAGAAGAAGAAAATCTTCACTCGTTCTCATGCTCTTGACAACAATTTTGGATTGGAAGAACTGACACTAAGCAAATGCACTGGATTAGCTCCTGGAGGGGCAGGGAACAACAATTTTTTTTTTTTTGCATTAAGTTCTAAAAGTAACTCTGGGATATAGTATATGTGACCGTAACTTTTCTCTTGCCTGTATTTCATAAAGATCAGTGGTTGTATGTAAAATAGTCCTAACTGCTCTTGTAAATATGTGCACGTTTCTAATGTGACTTGGTCTTCAAACAAAACAGGCAGGTGAACTACTGTGGAAGCCTCTTCTGTTTTGCCTCATTTTAAACTCAGCACAAGTCTTTAAATATAGTTCAAGAAGCATTCATGTCTGTTGCATGTAATATTTAATTAAACTTTTTATAAAACTTACAAAAGTATGAGTTGCCTGTATACAGAAAGCATTGCCAACCTCCTGGGATTTGGCCAGATGTCCTATGCTGTCAAGCACTTGCGTTTCTGCTGCTTTTTGTACAAAGCCTTAAGGTATGGAGTAACCAGGGAAAGGTCACAGGCACAGCACACCACTTCCCCCATATGAAGACCGTTCCACACTGCGTTAACACCTATCATAATCCAAAGTAGCTCTTCAGGGCATTGAACCAGAACTGTAATTCCTTTTACCAACAGAACTCTCAACTAGCTACAGCTCATTTCAGAATTCAGTAGTTGCTGAGGCTGTTTTGTGCAGAACACTATGCATCGTACACCTGGGACCTGGGTGTTCTGTACTGCAGTTACCAAAGAATTTCACTTCCAGAGACTTTATTTTAACCTGCATACAGTAAGTTTATAAAATAGACATAGAAGCAGGACCAGACTGGGGGGGGGAGGGAGAGATTGATTATCTACAAAAATAAGTTCAGTAATAAACGAGATTATTTATTATACATTACTGAAGGAGAGATGACTTTAACGAGCAGCTCTCTTCTTTCTCCTCCTTTTGTTAAATGTTTTCTTACTTGTATTTTCTTGTTTCGAGGTGGTCTGTGTTCTGTGAGCAAACAACATTTTTAATCAAATAAATGCATTGTTTTATTTCAAAAGAACACGGGTTGAGCATCTGTAACCGTGCAACCACTCACCATGCTCAGTGCAAAGTTTGAACACTTCCTAGAAAATGTTCTAAATACAAGTGAAGGTTTAGGCTAGAGTAGAGATACAGCAGTAAAACTAACTTCTCAGAGATACAATTGTAAGTTAGCCGTAGCACAGCCTGTAAAGTCTCTACAACACCTGTAAGGAGCAGCTGAATCAAATCCACATGTACACTCCCATTCTCTTTGGAGGAATTAACATCAGTTACAGAGATGTGACTACCTCAAACAGCTGCAGGTCAGCTGGGTGACTGGCCTCCAAGAGGGGAACAAACTAGCCCCGACTTAAAGCTCCTCACCCTGCTATATAATCCCCTTGAACAACTGAGACCCTTCCTGGCCTTGCCAAAGTTCTCAGCACAGACTGTCAGCGTTCTGCTGTCCGGCATTCCTTACCAGCTCCTTCCCCCTCTTAATCTCACATGATGGTTACCTTGTTTTGTTTGGTACTTCCTGTGGTTCCAGGATGACAACTTCTTCCTCTTCACTGTCAGACAGCACAATAGGTTCATCTGGAAGGGGGAAAAAAAAGATCAGTTTCTGTAAAAAGTCCCATAGCTAATAATCACAGCATTTCTAAAAGGATATTGAAATGGGAAAAGCAGGCTCACAATTGCTAGTGCTTAACCCAGCAGTCTTGCTATAGGTAAAGAAAACAAGTTTCTTTTGAAGAAAACAAGACCTGTCCAGGTGAAGTCAAAGTAGCCCAACTCTCAGAACTACAAGAGAGACATCTTGCACTTTCTAATTCTAGACTATTAACAAAGTAGTGTTGTAAGTGTATGCAGTATTGCGACAAATAAATACTCACCCTTAGCTTTGCTTATCGTACTTGTGTCCTCCGTTTCCATTCTCTGGCACTCAGAAGTGTCAGCCTCACCTTCACCCTCCTCTTCCTCTTCCCTCTCCGATTCTTCAAGGTCTTCCCAGGAGTTCTCTATTCCTTCCCCAATTTGGGCTGTCCCAGGAGCGTGCAATATTGGTGTGGCAAAACTGCAATAGTTAAGAAAAATTTTGGAGATACTAAGAATTAAGTTACCTAAAAGCAGTTAGAACCAAAACCAATAAGATATTGAGATTCCCTCTGATGGCTATATGGCTACCCTGAGCTGGGATACATCTTGGGCATTTAGCTGCTAGTGGGACTAACACGGGGAGGGGGAAGCCTCCTTTTTTCCCCAGACAAGAAACAGAAAACATACACTTCTGAAGGAGGGTCAGCTTTAGTTATGATTTCTTCTGCTTGTTCTTCCACGTTGTTGGTGTCTACAGCAGCACTTTCCATTTTGAAGGCAGTGATCTTTTGGTTTGGTATAGATTCTGCAAAGCCAAACTTCCCACCTTCTTTCCTAGTCAATAACAACAGACATTATTTCAAGGTTATTTCACATTTATGAATGTTTTCTCTCAGAGTTCAAATATACAAATACTTGCTCTTTAAAACAATTACAAAGAAACACAATTTGCTGATTGTTTTACAAGTTAGCATCAATTTTTAGCGTATTTCTTAAACGCTGGTCCATCCCTTCCCAAAGCACTCACCTAACTTTCTGGTCGTTCTCCAAGGCTTTCTGAATTAGTTCTGTTATTTCTGCAACCTTAACAGCTGTTATTTTACTGCATCTCAGAACCTGTTACATGCACAACAACAGTTTACAATGATGAAAGCACAGTATTTTTAACTAGAGCTGTAGGACAGATCACAGGAGTAACACTTAAAATTAGGTATCTAAGTAAAAGGGACCGGATACACGATGAGGTGATCCAGCCTCCAACAGTCAAATCACAGGGAAAAATATTGCTGTCTGAACAAGCAATGGCCTTTTCTACCTACATCTGTTCTTCAGCACAGATGCACAGTAGCACGCTCTTCCACTGGGTCTAAAAATACTTGATGTCTTCCAGTGAAATCTGACAGCTAACTGTTTCCTTAGCTTCAAAATATTAAGGATATTGCAATATCAAGATTACAAGCCAGGAAGCAGTTTATACCAGAGACAAAGATCGGTCAAGGAAAAGATTTACCTGATCCATCACTAGCATAATCCCTCCACTGGACTGGATGGTACAAATTTCACGATGTTTATTCATGGCAATTACAAGGAGGCCGTCCATTACACGTTCTTCTCGTTCGCTTGGATCCACCAACAAATATGTGCTAGAATCAAAGTTTTAAATATAACACAACAAGATAAGTTTGAAGCTGAGTTTGACTCCCCCAAGAAAGTGTTCTTATCACCTGTGAAAGCAGCTGGCTACCAGCACTACACAGTACACATATGTATGTCTGTGGCTCCTCACTTTTGATAAAATTCTTTAAGAAATCTGTCGAGTCGCCTTTTTTTTCTACAAATCTCTATGTTTAAAATTAATTCTGCAGAACTGGCGATAAGTTGTTTCTGTCAATAAGGACTTAAGAAAAAAAATCACCTTACCCCTGCTGGAAGAAGGCAAAACTGACGCAAATAGGCATGTGGTGGATACTCAAGGGGACAGGATCACGCTCCTCAGGAGAGTACTTGGAAAAGAATTATCCCAGAGGACAATTATTTACAAAATTCATTTGGTTTTAAAATGATGTATTGCACAAGAGGTATTTAAAGATATAACAAGCAAGAAAAAAGGCAAACATTCATCATCTAAATATTAACAATCTTATTGCTCTTCTTGTATAATCCTGTTTACTACCTACGTAGGCAAATTCAGCACACTCATCACAATTTTTTTACAATTAATGTTGCCCTAAATTGAAGTTGATATAGTTTTACACTCAGCGGGCTTGCTTACTACCCTTTTACATTTTGAATAGGAACACATGCACTCCCAAACTCTATGTATCCTGGAGTTTATCTGCTTACATAAACCTTTAATTCCTTCCTTTCAGACAGAACGGAACAGCTACCCGAGATACTATACCAGCATCTAGTACGACTTACCACTGTCACTTCCTCTCCTTGCACAGAGACATCTGGTCTGCGAAAATGACACAGGGCTACTATTGCTGCTATGCTAGCAGCATCAATGATGTTACCATCATGATTTAACAGGTGCAGGTCCACACGGATTTGCCAAACCTGAGAAAAAAAACAGACGTAACTGCTTGGTAATGAGTAAATGTGATTCCGGAGAAGCTATTGCTTTTCAAGACACTTTCTGTCTTTGAATCATAAAAAGGACCAATGTATATTCTTTGTGTCTTTCCTTGAGAAATTAGGATGAAAAAGCTTGGTATATGCAAGACACCAAGCGTGCTAGATTGAAAACATGGTTAATTTGACACGATACACAACAGTTAAGTACGACTTAAGATTTGTTTTGCAAAGAAATATTCAAGTGTGGAGGATCCCAATTATTTCAAAAAGTCTATATAGATCTGTAAGTTAAAAATACCTACAGTCAGATGGGTCCTCCTGAGGTCTTAATTTGTGTTTTTTGAAACAAAACAGACCACCTGAAAAACTGACTATACACACCCTTTAGTTTAAAACCATTTGAAGTTTAGTTTTTCATACCTTTTCACCAGCAACAACGCAGAGAGATTCAGTATCTATACATTTGGAATTTCTCAGGCATCGCTCTATCAATCTGTTCAGTTTCACCAGCAACTCAGACTGCCTGTTAAAACAAAATTAACCCAAACTGAATATAATTATTCTGCACACTTACATGATTCTAAACAGTGGCCCTTTTATAAGTCTTTTTAAGAAAGCTACATACCTGCCAGGCTCAAAACCAGGCGCGGCCATGGGCGACAGCTCGAGGTTAAAGAACAGTATCCCTTCTGTAGCCCGATTCGGCTTTGGGGGCACAAGTTCACATGATACTTGGCCAAGAACCCTGCGGAGGGCAACAAACCACTAAGCTACAGAATTAGGCAGAAGATTTCTGCATAAAGGGATATGAAATTAGACTCGTTATCCACCCGTATGATATAAATTATTTGTAATTTATGGCCTACCCCTAACCCCAACCCCCCGTTCCCCGCGGTGCCTCTCTGGGAGGCCGCAGCCACCTGGTCCTGCCCAGCTCCACCACGCAGCAGCCGCGGTCGGGCCCGAAGGAGATGCGCACGTTCCGGTAGTCGTAGCACTGCCGCCCGTCCAGCCGCTGTGGGGAACGGACACACAGAGAGACACACAGACGGACAGGGGGTCACACAGACACACAGACAGACAGACATGGCGGGGGCTGGTTACCGCGGGGGCGGCCGGCCCCGGGGCGGCGTGAAGGGGCAGGGGCAGGGGTAGGGATGAGAGCGGGCGGCCCCCACCTTGCCCTCCCGCACGGCGCGCAGCAGGAAGCGCCGCTCGCAGTTGGACAGCGGCGTCTCCCTCATGGCGGAGCGGCCGTTGGGTCGTGAGGCGCGGCCGTTGGTGGCGAGGCCCGGCCGTTGGGTCGTGAAGCGCGGCCGTTGGCGGCGCAGCGCCTCAGCGTCATCAGCGCGCGGCGACCGTTATGGGGGGGCGGCATTGGGCGGGCTGCAGCCGCCTGGCGCCCCCTAGGGGCCAGCGCGTCCCCGTCCCGCCCGCGCCTCAGGCGGGGCTGAGGTGCACCCGCGATCCGTCTTTTCTCACCCAAAATGGTTGAAATGTCTAAATTACACTTCTTGTTCAAACCTTGTTGACACGCAAAGCTCTAGGCAAACTAAAAAGCGAGGCACACCTCAGAAGCTTCAAGTTTGTGTGAGCGAGGACAAGCGCTGCCAGATCCTCCGTGCTAGTTTTGTATTTCTGTGTATTTCAATAACTTCAAAAATATTTAGTCAAAAATATAAGAGAATATTCAAAAATATAAGAGAATACTGACATGAGATTATACAGACCACCTTGCTTGGTCTAAGTATTAAGTATTATAAGTATTTTTTCTAAATGGTACCACATAGGAAGCAACACTAAGGAACAAAGTGATTTAACACTGGCGACTTCTCCTGTAGCCACAAACACAGTAACTTCTGGAGCCAGATTCTCTCTCACTGCTGCTATATGGCCGACCAGATATCTGCCTTGAACAGCAGGCCTTAGGTGGAAAATTCTGCGTCTGCTTTTTTCATTGCTTAAATTTAGTGATGATGTTCATTAGTGAAGTCTTGGGGTTAAATTCTGGCAGTTTTGCCATTGCTGAGGGAGAACACTGCTCTAGGACCAAGTTTGCTTCATATTCATAGCTCTAAACCCTGCTGTGCTTTGGCTGAAACAACTTTTTACATGAAAAGGAAATGTTAGGTACTAGTGGCTTGCAATCCCTTAAGATGTGATAAGAAGGAAATTATTTTGCAAGAGTTAATTTTGACTTATGTACAGTTGGAAAACTCATATACAAGTAGAGTTTCTAAATCACTGAAGGTAAAAGTATATTTGGAGTAATTTCATTTATAATTAGCAGGAAGATACAATGTGTAAAATAAAGCTTGATAAACACTGGTGGTCAAACTTTGGTAAATATGTAAGTTGAATAACCAAAAAGAGAGTCTTAAAGAAGTGAGATGCAAACTGTAAGCTTTGCATTTCAAATGTCTAATTTAAACTTTTTGCCCAGTGTATTACTGTAAATCCTTTTGCATCATACCGATACTTTTCCTTTGTTTTACTGAAGGCTTTGTAATGCTTTCACAGAAGTTCACTACAAGTTTCACTTCAGTTGTATGGAAGAAGTATTTTGTTTGCATGTTCAAGAAATATATATATATATATATATATAAAACCTTGAAAAGAAATCATTGTGAGAATGATTTTTTTTTTCTTTCCAGTAGAGGGACACATGCATTCAGTTAGAGGGGTGTATGAGAATACATGGTTCTGTGTTATCATACTTGGAGCTGAACTGAAGCAGTTGGAAAATGTACATGTCCTTTAAAACAATATCCTTTAAGTCATGTCCTCCCTATACACATACACACACACTTTGATATTATAGGTGTTTTTTTTTGTTGTTTTTGTTTTTTTTTTGTTTTTTTTTTTTTTTTTTTCCCAAAGCAGTTGAGGCTGAAAGTCTCAAGCTTTTCCTCATATGTCCAATGCTCCAAACCATTAATCATCTTCATGATGCAAAAGAGTACAGATGCAGTCACAAAAGTGCAAACAAATAAGAAAGGAAAATGGAGTTACTTTTTTATTATTATTTTCTATTAGTATTTTTATTATTACATATTACAATTAATATGGCATAGAAGTGTTTCTTAATTCGTGATGAGTGCTCTTCAGGCTGAAATGCTTGAATTGGATTATTTTACCAAGCTGAACGATGAGGGAAAGTCTCAATTGAGGACTGAAATAATAAAAAAAAAATAATAATAAATAAATAAAAAAACCTGCATCAGAATTTCAGCATCTTGACTGCAAGCCTCCAGCTACCACGCTTTATGGCCTTATAAAAATAGATTGATAATTGATCTCTTTTCATGGTAACCTTCGCTGTATTGTGCCCCATGCTGCTTAGCTGCAGGTCTTGCTCTCCACAGTGTCTCCAGTATACACGTTTACACATGTATGCACAGCGTGATGCATACTGTGTTTCAGCATATAAAATTGCTTGGGAAGAAAGGCTTCACATAGATTAAATAATATAATTTATCATTTGATTTTATAAAAGCTTCTGAGACCTTGAAACACATCATCTCCACTTGAACGGGAGGGTAGGTAACCACTGCGAGCAGAGGTCTGCAGAAATAGGACTGGAACAGGAGATAGCGTGCTGACCGGCTCGGTGCAGTGAGGCACTGAGTATTCTGGCCCTGATCCAGAGGAGCACTTAAACAAGCCCTTTATCTGAAGCACAGCTGTAAGCGCGTTTGTTCCTTATTTCTTAGAGGGAAGGTGTCACAGCTTGTGCATGAAACATCAAACATCTCCACCGTTCAAATGGATTTCCATTTCTGAGTATGAATTTTAGGGCACAGCTGTGGAGGCAATGCCTTCCCATCTGCTGGTGTGGTCACAGGGCAGAAACGTGAATGGTGGTCCAGCTCCTCTGTTGTATCTGATCGCCTGTCTTTCCAAATGAAGATTGATGCTGCTGGAAGCCCCGTGTCCTTTTGCTTAGAGGGGAGGAAAGGCCACCTCTTGTGCAGAGTGCCTGTCCCACCTTCCAGAGCTCTTGTTGGAAGTTTCTACGGCCCCAGTGTCCAACTTCACAACAAAAGATGTGTACCATTTTGTTTAATCAATGAAGAGCCAACGGCTTTAAAAGATTTATCATACGACTCCTCTTGGGATGATGTAGACAAATAAATTGTGGGGTAAGAGAAACACAAGACACAATCTTAAGTAGTAAATTATTCCTGAGTTTGCAAAGAACAAAAGTGACCTGTACTGCATACAGATGGGTATGCTCTCCTAGGAGGAGGTTGCATCTCCTTTTAATAGTGTTTTGGGTACATGGTTAATGGTTCAAAAAAAGCAATTTGGATTATCTAAGTGACTTTTGTAGCTGCTGATGTGAGACAAGTAGCTGTTAGAAAGAGCGTGATGGATGTGAACTTAAAACCAGACCTGGAAGCTGTACACACTTGCTGCTGTTTCTCCTGCATGTGATTAGCAGCAGAGATTTTCAGCACTGCCAGGAGAGGCAGTGGAAAGGAGTCAGAGAATTGTATTTCTAAAGGCTGGCAGAGCCTGCAAGCTGCACTGTAACTGGTCGTGTGTGGCCTTGTTAATATTTATGCTGCATTAAGGAGACATTGAGACAACTCTTTGTCCTAACTAATGGCAATGAAGTATTCAGAGGTACCCATTCTTTTGCAAAAGATCAGCTGTCTTTGCTAGAACTGGTTTTGCTGGTGCCTTGATTGCTTTCTGAAGGCATATGTAGCTATTCTGCTAAGTTTTGCTAAGCACATACTTTTCCTCTCTGTTTTTTTTTTTTTTTTTCCTTCCTTTGGGGTGACTGATGTACTTAAGTCAGTCCTTTCCACATGATACAATTGCCATGTTAACGCTGGACATGGGATAAAAACTCAGTATTTTCCTGCCCAAACTGGGAAATGCCTCCTGAAGCCCAGCTCAGACTTGCTGCCTTGCTCTTCAGCTCCAGACCCTATGAGAGGAATCGACCTCCTTCTGCCTCAACGCCCTCGCCCTTGTGTCTAGCAGGGGGACCCCAAGTAGCGCACACGATGCTGCCTGGCAGGGAGATGTGGAGGGGCTTGTTAAAACATGGCCTGATGTTTCTTTGGGGCTTCTGGGGCCTGCCCAGGGGTTTTCTGCCCAGCTGTGGGCGCAGCTCAGCACCCTGGTCTTTTCATAAGCCCCCAATGAAATGATTGTGCCAAGAGTGACTTAGGGTAATTTGTCTGTAGCTGAAATGATGTAAACTACTTCTGTGTTAAAAGGAAAGATTTGGTTAAAACGGGAACTTAAACTTTATCACGGACTTCCTAAGTCTGCGTCAGCTGTCCCAGCTTTGTTTATTGCCCTGGCCAAGTGTGAAATCACTGAAGACTCTTCAGCTCTCAGAAGACTGGATATTTAGCAGAGGAATTTGAGATCTACAATAAATTATTGCCCAAAGAATAAGCATGGAGAAAAGATGATTTACCAGTGATCTACACCTGTCCTATATTCACAGAATTCATTCCAACTCAGCTGAATTCAATCACCTCGTACAAGGCTAAAGCTGGGAGGGAAAGGTGCTGCCTCTGCTCTGTGTGTGTGCTGCTGAGGGTGGTGTTTGGCCAAACCCCAACACCCCAATCCCTCGGGTGGGGAACTGAGGCACAACCTGGCCCTGAGCATGCGGAAAGTCAGGGTTATTGGTAGGGGTACAATGTGACCCCGTGGTGGGGGCCACCCACTGTGGGCTCAAACAAAGTTTGTGATTTGGCCATTAGTCTGGAAGACACAGCGTTTTCTTCCTGCATCCTGCTGCTGCTTGAAAGGCAGGTGAAACTGCGTAGGGGGTGAGGAGTGCTCACCCCAACATGGGTTTGTTTTGCCACGTGGGTGGCTGGTTACTGGGGGAGGAGTCGAGGAGACTTTGCTTGATGAGCCTTAGCTCTTGCTGGTAGCACTAAATCCCCAAACAAATTCCTTTTTGACCTCCCCTTTCCACTGCCAGCTCTGTAATAATGTCAGGCTCCAGGGAAAACCTGACAGTGACGATGCTTTAGAAGGTAAAGACTTCAAGCATAAGCAAACACCCATGTCAGAGGCAGAGCCACCTGATGTGAGAAGACGTGTAACAACCTAATCTGCGTGCTTGTCTCAGCCTGCAGCTCTGCGAAATGAAACACTGCCTGGGAGCTTCTGCAGGACAGATTTCAGCTTTAAAGTAAATGAATGATTCTGCAACTGCAATGTTAATTTAAGGAGAATTTACATTTAATCTAGTCTTTTTTTTTTTTTTTTTCTAAAATCTGGTATCTCCAATTTAGCCCAGTTCTTTGAGCATATTCTGCGCATGGCCTGGTTTCTCACTGACCATTTGAAAGCCGTTTTGCTTGATGCC